AGTCGCATGGAGGCAGGAAGGTTGAGCGAAAATAACTATTACTATTGAGATGTAAAAATTCTCATGTGACGTTATACGAAAAAGGAAATAAATTTCAAAATTCAACAACACGTGATACTAGTAATAAATTTATTGAACACGACAACAAACATAATCGTGCATTATTAATATGTAAAATCCTGCATCGAACTTCGGTAACGGTATAACGAGATTTTACTATTAAATTCGTTATAACGAGGGGATTTCACCATTTAGAAAACGGGGGAGCCAGAATCCCTTCGGTATAACGAGGTTCGGTATAACGAAGTTTGACTGTACTTGGAGATGAGCATGTTCGTAGACGGGCAAATCCAAGTACAAAGACTGCACGGAAGAAGAAATGGGAAGTCGCGTTAGAAGGGATTTTCCGGGTAGTTCTAGTCAGTTGAAAATGGAACGGGCAAGTATAAGAGGAAGAAGACGGGGAAGCCGTGTATAATATTGGCATTTTCTGAAGATTACAAAAAACGCTTCAGTGACGCCAATGAAGACTATCGCGATAATGGTTTGGACAATAGGAGAAGGCTGATGATTTATTAAAAAACATTGACATTCTGGAAAGTCTGTCAACCTCCAGCACCACGGGACTTGGCTAAGAGGTCCATATGCCCTGGAGATCACTTGCCACCAGACAATAAAATACGTTTTTAAATAGACATTAGTCATGAGCAACTGGAAGCATTTGAAGGGGGTGAGCAAGTACCGGTTTCAGTCTGCTGCGCGTTCTCGCCCAGACGAATCCCAACTCTGTTAATAAGGATAACTCGGCCGCTTTTTTTTTATTAGTCAGTATTCTGAAAAGGCGAGTAATAGGTCCGTATGCCATTGAGATCTCTTGCCATGTTCAAACGGGAGAGGGAGGACAGAGTCAGATGTGTGGAGGAAGGGTTCTAAGACCAGAAGTCTCGTCATGTTTAGGGCCTTTTTTTTTTCTTTATATTTCTAAGAATTAAGATAGTTTTGATCGATTATATCAAAATATTCCTCACGGTCATTAGCGTAAATATGAGTAATATGAGTAAGGTTATTATTGTTATTATCTAGATATACAACACAACACATCTTCCCTCGAAAACCATCTTAAACCTTTTAAAATGTTGGCTGGTTTTAACCTTTTATCTCTACGGGTCTATTGGACGTTTTGTCACGTCCGGCGTCTCTGCGTTAATTACTTTTCATTGGTGGTAATGTTGTGCGGGGAACTATATACGCGTCTACCAACAATAATATGGGACAATTATTATTATACAATTTATTTTTAATTACATCTTTCAAAGGAATAAACAAAAACTAATCAACTTGCATCGAATCCGAGAAGTAAAGCTTGTTTATTGAGCAGTTCGCTTGAATCATCAATTTGCAATGTCAATCTCCGTTTAGCAACTGAGAATATTAATATAATAATGACTGGTCAATAAAAACAGATCACGTGCGTGCATTTAAATCACCGTGCCAAACCGCGCGTTTAGGGAGGGGTGTGCATTTAGAGCAAAGTGGATATGAAGGAGAGACATAAATTGTTGTAGATGGAGTCGGGATTTGAGAAGAAAGTATGCTCATACTTAGTACATATCAAATAGTACTGAGTGATGACTTTTAGAAGTGTCACAATTTTGACAACTACTAGCGATGTGGCGTGGGTCTTCGCTGAGTACATCATATACAGTATTCCCCCTGATGATATTTAAATTTGCATTGCTGATTAGAGTTTCCTACTCCACAGCTGTTATATTGTCTAATTATAATCTGGTTTATTTTAGGTGAAGGATACGGTGGAGTTAGTATAAACGTTCGCGAAGGCAAAGGCATTCGTTCTTGTAAGTAGTACTTACATGAATTTTGTGCTCAGCTTTAGATCAACGATCAAGAACATATTATTTAATGTTCTTGAACTCTGGTAATTTTTAAACATGACTAATTATATCTTTAGAAGGCTGTTAATTTGCTTTTAAATTTCAGAAAGTGCCGCTGGAAATGCGAACATTCCCAATAGGGACATGTACAAGGTAAACCCCCAACAAACCGAAGACGTTACTGCTGCAGTTTCTTCGTATTAGCGGGGAAAGAGAAAGATAAAAAACTTTAGTAAAAAAAAAAATAGAAAAAGTTTAAACTTCCCCATCTCTTTAAAAGTCAAATCACACTTTTTTTAAGCCTCTAAAACAATAAACTCCCTAGTGTGGGGATTTAAATAGATAAGTCTAAAAATAATCATGAACCTAAAAATAGAAAATTATCCTTTTGCTAGTTTTTGCTTCACTCACTCAACATTAACACGAAGTACGCGATAAATTAATCCATCATAAAGCATTGTTTATTAGACATTCGATGATTAAATTAGCGATCATTAAAGAAAAATGGCAGTACTTGGCAAGCATCGACGCCTTGTATTCGTAACGTATGAGACGTTAAGTAAATATTGATTTAAATTCACTGCCTGTTCATGCTTATAGACATACGCGTCTACGACTATTGTTTTTTAAATAAAATAATTAGGACACTGTAAATTGATCGAGTATTCATTTGCTAGCTTTTCCGAAATTTCTAAACGGCAAGTAAATATAACGAATAAATTAATTAACGGTTTTCCATTACTGTGTCTCTGCAGAAATAACAATAGCACTTGCTCCTCCTCCACCATTGCAAATCCCGGCCACACCAATTTTCCCTTCTTTATGTCGAAGTACAGAAAGTAAAGTACAGACAATTCTTGCACCCGAGCATCCGAGTGGATGACCCATAGCCACCGCGCCACCAAACACGTTAACCTTCTCTTCATCCAGTCCAAGAAGCTTCAAATTGGCAAGAGCAACAACAGAAAAAGCCTCATTGATCTCGTAGTAATCAACTGATGATTCTGGAATGTTGGCATGCTTCAAAGCTTTCGGGATTGCCTTCGAAGGCGCCGTCGTAAACTCCAAAGGTTGCTGACGAATACAAGAATTCATGAGCTTTTTCTTTTTTTTTTAAAAAAAAAAGTAAACTTGTGCAAATACGGACGATGTCGACCAACCTGAGCAGCCTCACCCCAACCCAATATCTTGCCAACAACTTTGATGCCTAGCTCGCGTGCCTTTTCTCCACTGATGAGAACAACTGCTGCAGCTCCATCACTCAACGGTGATGAATTGGGTGCGGTCACTGTACCATTTTCGACAAAAGCCGGACGCACTGCGCGTAATTTGTCAATATTAAGCTAGAAAACAAAAAAGTAAATTTGTAAATGACGGTAAAGGGTCAAGGGTGAAAAGCAAAAAAAAAAAAAAAAAAAAGACTGACATTGGTAATCTCGTCATCCTGCGTAATAACTTTATCGGGTTTCCCTCTACCTCCAGAGACAGCTACAGGGACAATTTCGTCTGCATAATAATTTGCCTTGAATGCTGCCTGCGCACGATGGTATGATGAGATTGCGTAATCGTCCTATTATTGTAAGAGTTTAAGGAATCATTGACTGGTTATCTAAAACAAAAAACAAAGAATACAGGACAATTAAACCGTTGATACCTGCTGCCGTCGACTAAATTGGTATTTGTCCGCACATTTCTCAGCAGCAATTCCCATGATCTCGCTATGCTTTGCATCAGTCAGTCCATCTTTGACGATACCATCAACAAGAGTCTGGTCACCATACTTGGACCCAAACCGTGCTTTGGGAACATAGTATGGCGTATTACTCATTGATTCAGTCCCACCAGCTACGACAACCTGTGAGCATCTTGGGATATTAGTTTTCTATCGATCAAGAAACACATACCACGTCAGCTTGTCAAAACAGAGCTTACATCTGCGTTGCCAGTTAGGATTGCTTGGGCACCAATGATTATGGCTTTCATGCCAGAAGCGCAGACTTTGTTTACGGTTGTCGCGATGACGCTCTCGTCGAGTTTGGCACCCAAAGCTACTTGACGTGCGGGATTTTGACCTTATCATGACGTAAGAAAAATTACTATCTCCATGACGCTTGCATGCATATCCCATATCAAGTCCAAAAAGTCACCTAAATTGGCCGAGAGGACATTTCCGAAAACGATTTCTTCGACGAGATGAGGCGCAATGTTGGCCTTCTTTAATGCAGCTGTAATAATGCGATTGATATTAGCAAAGTAATCGTCAAAGGAAGTGATGGTAGGGGGCGATGATGGGAAAAGAGATATTTGTTACCTTCGACGGCAATGCTTCCCAACCTAGTAGCAGAGAATGAAGCCAGAGAGCCATTGAATCCCCCAAGTGGAGTACGAGCAATAGCGGCAATGTATACGTCTGAAGGTGAGATCGATGATGTCAGATAATATCATTAGTTGTATTAAGCGCGCGCACTTTACGTAAGGAATAACTTTTCTTCTAATTACCTCTCTGATTGACCATGACGATGACTATAACAGAGAACCTATTATGTAAGCGAAGAATTAGAGATTACCGAGATCGTGTATGGAGGATGATTTTATATTCCACATTGTTACACGCGATTGACATTATCATGCTAAGCTGAAGTTAGTTCAAGAAAATGGTATGCATGTTCACGAAACGAGGTTTGAATACTTGAAAGTAGTAACAGAACTAGGGTGATCAACAACGTTAACCTTTAAGATTGACTGAATGGACAGTTGGAACTTGGTAAACTTTTTCTTTCCCAAGTTTTCGGGTTTCTTAAATACAAAGTGCATACTGTATTGTGATTCTTTTATCTTGATGCGTCCTGGGGATTTTCGATTTCCAGGTGGTCACCGAGCTGCGACGACCAGGCTAATACTAAAAAGGTTATTACGTCATGCTTATAAAGAGGCTCCTGCAGGTCCGAATGCAGGAGCTCATATATCGGTTTTCTGATATTACTATTTGTGTTGCCAATACTCTATCAAAAATATCTACCTTCATATTAAAAGTATTCCGTGACAACAAAGGGAATGTGTACCGTATCATTTGACACGAATTTGTAATATACATTAGTAACCTGTTTATTAGACGATCAGTCGTGGAGACAAATTGTTCCGCTACCCATGTGCAAGTACGCTATAGCTTTCGATAAAGTCCAACTCTTTTTGCGTTGTCCCGACATTGTTTGCAGTTGAAACAGATCATCTTTTTAGTAAAAGTGGAGCATTGGCTTCAAATAAACATCTTATTCTCCCGATTGCTAATGATTATAATTATTTTATAAAAAGTTTTTTTCTGCCAACAGCATGGCCAAATAGGTTATTATGGTGTTAGCGAATACGTAGTAATAAACGAATTATTAATCTCTTTACCCGTTTTTTATTATGGGGGTTTCAAAACCACACTTTAAGCTATTACGATTAGGACGCATTCAGTGCTAACGTTCCAGCGCACATGCTTTACAATTTTTGTCTTTAATTCTTACTGTAAAATAATTAGCGCAAAAGAATTTCTACTTACAAAAGTTTTTTTGCATTACAGGCATTCACAAACAAAATTTTACAATTTTTACAGTAGAGGCGGGTGCCATTTAAATAAAATTAAATACGAAACACGTCTTAAGAATGTATTTTATGTTTATATTGATTGCGCAATTTGTTTTAGACATTAGTTCATTGTTGGCTTATTAAAGTACTATATTACATATTATTTTAAAAGGTAATTTTTACTAAATGCGGACATGAGACATTGAGATCCAGCTAAGCGGTATTACCATTTATGTATTATCACATTTGTTCAAATTTGATCGACTGTCTGATGAAAACGCGCTAAATTATTGCTTCTCCGCCCAATTGGTATAGTTATTATTTTGACCGCAACAGTAAATTTTTTCTGCGCAGCCTTTTACTCTTGTCACAAAAAAAAGAGAGAAAACATGACTCAGTCGACAAGAATTGAGCGAGACCGAGGGGCTTTGACAGAAAAACAAACTAATAGGAACAAAGCAAAATTGCTGTTGGCCAAATTACAGAGAGCCCTGATAGCAGTGGCATCTTCTCCCGGCAGGCAACAGCTTTACGATTTGTTGTATTGGGCATAGCAAAAGTCAGGTTGTATCCATTTATATATTTTTCTTGCTTCTTGAATATTGCAATATGGGTTGTAATAGTTTCTGATGTAGCTGGAGGTTGAATTTTTTTTATCGGAGAACTCGTAACTTGTATTTTGTGACTCGGTATTGGGACGCAGAATATGACATAACGGATTTATGACATTACATCGATTTACTGTCTGCCACAAATGAGACTAACGCGTATTCTTTGATCGATTCCGTACTTTTCGTGCTTTTTGTTCATATAAAAGCTCTCGCTGTGTGCACACTACCGAAACCAAAACAAACGTCTTACTCCACAACTTTGACAAAAAATAGTTGCAGTCGAGGTTAACGATGTTTTTATGACAAAACTATCCGGAATTACACTAAAGACTTTTTGGAATAAAATAGAAATAAGCTTGCAAGATAATCTGACCAATAATTCTACACAGAGAAATGCCAGAATTGAAAGCCGTTTCAAACATAAGACATCAAATAACTGAGCTTTTTAAAATGTAGCACATTTTCTAAAATATATCAAGTGCTTTAATATTAGTATTTTAAATAGCATTTGAACATTTTTATAGTTTGGTAATAATTTCCAAGTGTTGAACATTGGTCTATATAAAAATTATAGGTAATAAAAAATAGTATTAGTATATAGAATTATATGTACTTCATATGGAATAATAGTTCTAATAAAGGAAACAGTCATTTTAACTCAATTAGCATTATCTGGCTAAAATTTTGAAAATTTTAAAAAATTCCACAAACATATATTGTAAAAAAAGCCGACAAATTAGTTCAGAAACTTTACTCCAGCCCACAGTTAGGACTCATTCATGTTACTGCAGTTGTTCAGCCAAAGTTTCAAAAAAATTTTACTAACTAAGAAAGTTTAAGAATTAGTATAGGCACTTGATAGACTGTGAGTAACTTGGGCAGTAATTGGATGGTTTTTTAAGCGCTCTTATTGTCCATATTAATACGTGTAATAGATTCGGGCAAATAAATTTACTTTTTTAGTACTCAATATTCAAGTAAATGTACAGCAGGTATTGCAATCACATACTTATTTACAACGTCATTACGATGGGAAGTTTTATCGGAAAAACTTGTTTCGCTAATGCTTCAAACCGACTGGGAAAATTAACAAGATGACGACACCAGAAACACACCGCCAAGTTAACAAAGAAGCTTCTTAAAGACAAGTGCCCAAAAGTTTTTGATTGGGCCTTCTGACTCGAACGATAATAAAGAAAATGGTATAAAAAAGGGTTAACGCATTTTACAAGATAATTTTTAGATTAGAAATGGGAGATACTATTCAATCTAATTTATGTTCTGCAATGAGAATCTGTTATTGATGACGGATTGACACTAAATTTTTGATTTTCATAAGTTGCATTATTTCTTATGGTTTATGTAATTAATACAAATTAATTAAGAAATATAAAATTTAAAATATTTATTAAATTCCGTTACTATTGTTCACCTATCAACGCATGTTAAAACTGTAATATTGTAACTAGCTATTTTATTCCAATCTATAGGTCGGTAATAGGTATAATTTGAAAATTAAAAATAAAATATTACGGATTATTATTATGAGAACAAAGTTTGATTTGATTTAAGTGACTAACCATGTTTTGCTAGTTTATTTTTTGCGTCTTAAAAAGTTATTCCAACTTAACACTAGCAACAGTGACAGTGACAATATATTACCATTCTGTCACAATTATATGAACTGAGGTTGTCGAAAAAAGAAACTTGTCAGGAAGTTTGATATTAGCCAACAAATACGTCATCAACGTTTAGCTATGTTTATAAGAATAAACAACATTCACCGTTAACAAACAAAAGCGTTATTATCCATTGATAAGTGTTATGACTTAATAATATGCAAGTTGTTGCAAGCACTATTCGCTTTTAATCGACTATTCTGCAGACTCTTTCCCGACCAATCAAGGATGACAACGTTGTAGGTACTACGTATACTGTCAATTAATAATGAGTATTATTTAGCTTTAATCAGAAAGGCATGTCATTATTGGATTAAATTCTTTCTCAGTTTTCCCTTTTTGTAATAAAGATAGATTTTCGTTATGTTGAAATCGTTCGTGAACAGGTGATTAACTTGATCCTGATACCAAGTCTTTGTACTCAGCCATAAAATTAAGGGGTAAGTTCAGACAATCAAACCGGGAAAGCATTATTCGACATGTAGAAAAGTTTTTTCAATTTATATGTCACAAAGCGTCGTTTTCATTTATCGATCTATAAATCTAATGTAACTTTATTATAATTTCAGGCCTATTGTGCTACTTTAGCTGAATTGACTCGCCGAATATAGGGGACAAATGCGTGGGGGGTTAGATAGAAACTTAATAATAAGAAAAACGTTAGATAATCAAATCTTGCGTTTAAATGTAGTTATGTCGTGTCTAGTTCTATCGAGACTCTTCGTTTTGTCAAATAAAGTTTGAGTTGAACGGTTAATTAAAGGGGTAATGGATTACTAATCCATCAACAAACAGTATTATTATAAGAGATTTCGTTTGTTTGTCTGCCATCAACAATGACTTGTTCCCACCTACAAACGCCACATACCGACAAACAATTGACTAGTTAGCGATAAAAAGAGTCGTATTTAACCATATATAGAGTGTTACGATGTTTGATGTTTGATGTTTACCTTTAATTGAATACCGAGTGAATTGCTCCCTATTCGCTATGGCTTTCAAAACAACGTCTTTTCAGAACAAAAATATTCTCAGGCCTTTTTCTTTCTCTCATAAACTTACTTTATTCTGTTAATATCATGTGTATAAGCATATGTTAATTATAGATAAGATATAGACATATTAATATTGTGCTGTCAAATCATGTGCGTTTATTATAATAGAATTGTTCGTTAGAATTCTTTATTATATTCCTTTCTTTCCTTTTAAAACATACAAGTTAACGTAAAATACAAACGTAAAGTACAACAGCGTATGCATAACCATATGAATAGTAACTCTAAGTACTTTTGAATTTATAATCTAGCCGATTGAATTGAAATATGCGTGCGAGTTTAAATTGCATGGTTTAATTATGGTAATTAGGAGTAAAGCCACAATTTAAACAAAATAATCCATTTTTGTCGTAAACAAGTTACGCAAACTGTACAGTTTTTTGAGACGGCAGAGTGGTTCGATGGCGATGAGAATGTCTTTTGACAGACATGACAAGTTAATAAACAAATAATATCGAGGAATGAGCTAATTTATGTCAGGATATTTACATGACAGCAGTCGGGATATCCGCTTGTTAATTTTATCGCTTATTTGTCACAAGAAACCATATGATGATTATCCGGATTTTTCCAATTTGTAGTCTCCGAGAACCTACAACTCGATTAAAAAAGACATTATAATTAGTATGAATAATCAACAAGTAAACTTTCTGAAAATCTTTTTGGCTTGCAGCTGGGATCGATAATCTGTTGGTTTACAGTCAATTAAACGCTTGCATCGTCGTTGTTGATCGATTCGGGTGAAATAAGGGTGTAAGAGTCAAAAAAAAAAAAGTTTAACCAGACCAATAATTTTGATGTCGGTTGGCTGTGGCTTTTGTGGTCTCGGAATTTACGTATTACGGAAATCTCTCTCCGTCATTGCATAGTCAAACCCAGAAAATTACGATGGATAGACATTAACTTTTTTTTTATTAGGAATTGGATTTGTTAATTTTATCGAGTTGGCACTAATTGGTGCGGTTTATATTACTATAATTACAGCTTTTTTTCAAGAACAAAACGTAATTTGTAAACAGCAGATATTAATATTAAATCATGTTGTAATATTGACAGCTGATGTATTAATAAGTAGCAGATGTTCAAAGATAAGACGTACATTCCATGTTACACGGCATATTGTCTCGTGGGAATGCAAAGATCATTTCCCAATTTACGAGTCACATTGTCTATTATTTTTTTTTATTGTTGTATTGTGCTTCTCTTACGAGTGACACAACTCTAACATTTGGTCACAAGCCCTTTGCCCCATAAAAACTCTGGCGAAGATGATAAAATTAATCAAGTTGGAAGCAGTGTGTGAAGCGCGCGCGAACCTTCTGTTTATATTATAACATGTTTCATATTTATTAACTCATAGAATAATATAATAAGAGCAGAATTCCAACCTACAAAACTTAAAAACTTTCTGATTAAGTAGCGCTGTCATTGCTTAACCGGAAACCTTTAACCTTTTATCGCCTATTATTTGTATAGTAATATTCTCATATAAATTAACAAAATGGTTGTTTATCCAAGAGACTTGGTTCCCTTGACTCACACCTTCTTCAACACGCTTTACAAGCATTATCGTAATGAGACACCCGATACCACATGGGACCTCAAATTACACCTTTCTGTCGAACTTTTGCGCTGCGTGCTGCACCACAGTAAACACAAAACCATAGAGACCCATCAAAAGTTTTCCTCTGGCACCTTATTCACTGTTCCCTCGTCGATCCTCATACACAAGACTACCGTCCCTGAGACCAGCAGGTCACAAGCAGAAGACATATTGGCGGGATTGTTGAGTGGACAAGAAGAGAATATCGGGTGGAGGTGGAGAGAAGATCCGATGCGACAGAAACCTTTAAAAGCCGAGTGGATTGAAGAAAAGAAAAGAAAACAGTCTTGTGATGTGGATAGGGTTATTCTATACGTGCATGGGGGTGCTTATTGTGTTGGTAGTCCAGCACAAAGTAGGTTTTTAGTGAACAAAGTTGTCAGGGCTGCTGGAGCTCGTGCTTTTAGGTGAGTAGACAGCGTAAAGAGAGGGGAAAACGATGAATATATATAATGACGTCGTAACCGGGAAGAAAAATTGGATTGCATCTTGTTATTATTATGTGATGAGAATTTTAATCCGTATTAACCTGTTGTCATCATTTGACATTTGCTTTCTCAGTGTTGACTATCGATTGGCACCACAGTCTCCCTTTCCGGCGGCCGTTATCGATGCGCTTGCTGCTTACTTGTATTTAATACAACCACCTGCAAATTCGGGTTTGACTCCGATTAATCCCAGCAATATTGTAATTATGGGCGATTCGGCTGGTGGAGGTAATTATGATACGAACACACAGTTAGTGTAAAATGGAATGGGAGAATGGAGAGTGGAGAATGTAGGGACAATGGAGAATGTGAGATGCAGAATGGACAATACAATGGGAATGGTGAATGGAGAAATTAAAACAAAACCCCGTGTATACTCGTGTTGCAATAGTTACAATCGTCATCACCTTTTTATCCAACAAGTTCTTAAGACATGTCTTCTTCTCTTGTATTGTTTAGGTTTGTCATTGGCTGTCATGCTGATACTCCGCGATGCCGGTCTCCCCCAACCAGCAGCTTGTGTCTGTTGGTCTCCTTGGGTAGATTTATATCACTCTCTTCCATCCGTTCTCGAGAATTCCGCGACTGACTATCTGCCAAATGGTATTGTTCATAAACCCTCTCCGGCTAATCCAATCAGAGACTATAAAAATTTTCAAGAGAGATTAAACAGGATTCAATATTATGC